AGGGGCCGGTAGGGGTAGGAGCCGTCTATCCGGCCGTGGATTTCGAGGCTCATTTAGAGCCGGCAGAGGCTCCTTTAATACCCAGAGACGGTACCAGAGCGAACCTATACCCCATTCTTCCAATCTCGTGGATGCCCCTGGAACTCCTGCGGACCGCAGGGGTCTATCTCAGGCAGACGACCTTATGGTGAGTACCGAGTATCTCCATTTTTCCCATATAAAAGTGGGGGGCAGATTGGAACTGTTTCACCATGCTTGGAAAATTCTAACCTCAGATGTTTGGGTATTAAATACAATACAGGGGTACCTATTGGAGCTAGTCTCTTACCCTACTCAGGTGCAGTTCCCTCGAGAACTAAACATGGCCAATGACCACCACAAGATGATCTCGGCAGAGATTGCAGATTTGGCATCAAAACGCGCTATTCAGCAAATCCCATGGGACACAGAAGGGTTCGTGAGCAACCTGTTTCTGGTCCCCAAGAAAGGGGGTGGGGTACGCCCAGTAATCAATCTCCGACCCCTAAATGCTTTTGTCCAATATCACGATTTCAAAATGGAGGGTATTCATTGACTTCGGGACATCCTACTACCAGATTGGATGGTCAAAATAGATTTACGGGATGCTTATCTGACAATCCCTGTCGCGGAAGCGCACCAAAACCTACTGCAGTTTCAGTGGCAAGGAACGAAGTGGAGGTTTGTATGTCTACCATTTGGTCTGTCCTCTGCTCCATGGTGCTTCACAAAGGTACTGAAGCTGGTGATTGCCTTCCTGCGCACACGAGGGGTCAGATTAATAATTTACCTAGACGATATTCTTCTCCTGTCTCAATCTCAATCCCAATTACGTGTTCATTTGTCTTGGACAACCCACCTTCTCCAGAATTTAGGATTCTTGGTGAATTGGGAGAAATCAGTTCTTCAACCCTCCAAATGCATGGAATTTCTCGGATTTCAAGTGGACTCTGTACAACAGAGGTTGTGTCTACCCAAAGACAAAATGATTTCAATCAAGAAAGAGATCAGACGACTTATGAATCATACGACCATTTCCCTCAGACAACTTGCGAGGATCATAGGGTTATTGTCCATACAAGCAATCTTCCCGGGCTCGTTACATTATCATGCCCTACAAAGGCTCAAAGCCTCATATCTGCGCTCCGGACACTCGTACAAAACCTGTGTTACACTGGACGAAGATTCCGGAGAGGAGTTGACATGGTGGCTAGTCCACATGGAGGCGTGGAACGGATGGGCGATATTCGGGTCTACGCCAGATCTGGTCATAGAGTCAGACGCCAGCTTACACGGCTGGGGCGCGCATTGTGGATCAGTTTTCACCGGTGGCAGATGGTCCAACGAAGAAACATTGCTACACATCAACTGCCTAGAACTGTTAGCGGCATCCTTTGCCATTCGCAGCATGACTCCCACAGGCATCTCATGCTCTATCCTAATCAAGATGGACAACGTTTCGGCGGTGCATTATATCAACCACCTAGGAGGAATGAAATCGAAAGTTCTGGCACTGATGGCTCGAGATTTTTGGCACTATTGTCTAAAACACAACATTTCGGTAATAGCGGAATATATCCCAGGACGAGCCAATGCACTGGCGGATTGGAATTCTCGATATCTTCGAGACGCAGGGGATTGGCATCTCCACCCAATGATCTTGCAACGTTTCTCTCGACTTTGGGGGCCTTTCAACATAGATCTCTTCGCGTCTCGACTGAACACCCAACTCCCTCGGTTCTTCAGTTGGAGACCGGACCCAGATGCTCTGGCGACAGACGCATTCTTACAAGACTGGACCAAGGGCAAGAATTACGCTTTTCCACCTTTCAACCTAATCTCTCGGACCCTTGCATACCTTCGATATTCCACAGGGACTCTAGTTCTGATAACCCTGATATGGAGGTCACAACCTTGGTTTCCACAGTTATTAGAAATGTTGATAGATTTCCCACGGCTGTTGCCAGCATACCCTACCTCCTGACCAATCCAGAGGGAATGAGTCACGAGTTGATCGACCAGGGTCTACTTCATCTGATGGCATGGCTCCTTTTAGGAGAACATGGAATCTCGAGGATGTTTCGCAGACGACACTCAGTCTCTTGGCAGAGTCTTGGGCACCAGGTACCAGACGTTCCTACAGGTCGGCTTGGAGGAAGTGGACTGATTGGTGCGTGGGACAATCAGTGGATCCCATATCAGCTCCTGTGAAAACAATCTTACAATTCCTGACTCTACTCTTTGAAGAAGGAAAAGCCTTTCGGACTATAAATCTGTACAGATCAGCTATATCGGCGAAACATATGGGATTGCCCTCATCTGTCGTTTGCACAAAGGCATCCAGTTTGCTCGATCCCCGCAGGCTCGGTATTCTTCCTTCAGGGATGTTAATGTGATTTTTCATTTTCTCGAGTCCTGGCCTTTGAATCATGAACTCTCTCTTAAACAATTATCAACAAAGCTGTTGATGCTGTTTTGTTTACTTTCATGTAAACAGGTTGCTGATGTCTGAGCATTGAATTGGCAAGCACGCGCTTTTGCTTTTGTTAGTATCCTTTAATATTTCACGTAGGACGAAATCTGCGACTAAGGGGGGGCGTGGCCTGGACACGGAGGAGAATGGCAGCATAATCTGAGAGCTCCGACCCACATAGCTACAATAGATAAAACTACAGCAAGGCACGAACATGGGGCGCACTAAACGCCCAGACGGCTCTCAGACCCCTCGGGGCCACCCAAACCTCTCCCAAACCGGACCCATGGACGGGTACCTGACCTCCTCAGCGGGCGCGAGCCACGAGGCAGCAGAATTCAACATGGCTGACTCTCCGGCCCTCTCACCCGCCTCAGACGTCGGCGGTCCCTCTCTGGCGGATATTAGCGCGGACATACGAGCGCTGGCTGCCTCTATGGTGACAAAAGAAGATCTAAAGGCCCTTTCAGACACCCTGCATGCGGTGATTCGCACGGAGGTAACTGCGATCAAGGCTGACATAGCCACTCAGGCCTGCAGACTGCAAGCAATGGAAGCATCTGTGCAGAGTACAACAGCACAGGCAGAAACCACAAACCTTGCTATCACCAGGCAAGGGAACATGCTCCTGGCCCTGAGGCGCCAGGCGGAAGATTTGGACAACAGAGGCCGTAGGTCTAACATCAGAATCCGCGGCCTACCGGAATCCGTGGGGGAGGAGGACGTGGAGGCTACACTGCAGACCCTGTTTAGAGAAATACTGGGGACTGAGGCACCAGAAACCATAGAATTCGACAGAGCGCACAGGGCTAACAGAGCACGAGCGGCAGACAACACACCACGAGATATTGTTTGCTGCCTGCACACTTACAAACTAAAGGAAAGGATCATGACTAAAGCCCGCCTGAGACCTACCTGGAGGTTCCGCGACGCAGAAATAGCCCTATATCAGGACTTATCCCCCCTCACACTGGAAGCCCGCAGGGCTCTCAGACCCATCACTGCACTACTCAGAGAAAGGGGAATTCCGTATAAATGGGGGTTCCCCTTTATGCTCCAGGCACGACACAACAACGAGTGGACCCAACTGCGCTGGCCAGAAGAGGTCCCCAGGTTCCTACAACGCCTAAACCTGCCGCCGACGGAGGTAATCAACTGGATCCTGGGCCCAGTGGACCCTCGACAGGGACCGCAAACGCCGCGACAACAGCGACAACGCAGAGACGCCACACCACGAAGACCACCAGCCAGACGACAACTGGCACCGACAGAACCAGAGGAGTAACAGTTGGCGAACTTGCCCCCCCCTCCCCCCCCCCCGGACTACCTCAGACCAAACCGTGTTCTGGAAGATGGAAAAGAGGCCACCAGCCCACCGGAACGATCAGATAAGTCCCACGCTACACCCACACACATAAGAGAAATAGGCCAAGGATACAGCACATGAGCCCTAGATACTCCCTCCCCCGGGCTTGGGAACAACACAGGGGTAAGAAGCGAACTATAGCATCAATTTGGGTGGGGAACCGAGGGGAGGTGACATTGGAAGAGACATTCCACCGCATAGACCTGGTCTATTGCTGATAGAGGCACGAACTCCGGGTTGATTTAAAGACACTCGGAAGGACTGGGACCTGAGGAACTGCTGGTCCCCAAGAAGGGAGAACCAAAACATCCCCACACTGGCAGATCAAATGCAGGTTGGGTCGGGGGGTTTGGGGGTGGGAGGGGGATGTGAGCAGCTGACCGGGGGGGAGAGACCACAGCGGGGGAGAGGGGCTGGGACGGGGGGGAGGAGGGGAAAGGGAAGGGAAAAAAAAAAATCTTCCGCAACTATGATTACCTGGTCCAGGGGGACCAAACTCGCAGGGAGTTAGGTGAAGTAGAGAAGAGGGGCAGAATGGGGCAGAATTATCAGATATAGGTAAAGGTATAGGTAAAGCCATGTATATTTAATGATGTATACCAGGGGGTGCAAAGAGACCCAGAGGACACACGATTGGAGCCAGACTTAAACAAGGAATGTTATGTAACAAATACCATGTGATATATGTTGATAAAGGTTGATGATGTTTTACACCACTTTGATGCCCATAAATACGATACAGCCAACCTGCCACCCATATGCGCAATAAGTAAACTAACCCCGAGCAAGGTCCACCCACCGTAATTAGAACCATGACTACAAGAGAAGTAAGCAACCCCACACACATAGCTATCACACGCCCGCAGACATGGACACAACTCACAGGGAGTATCATGTGCCCTCCGCCCCCCCCCCCTCCTGACAGACGCATAGCACCCCCTGCAGGGCACATTACTAAGGAAATCCCCGCTTGGGACTTTCCCAGGGTCCGAGACCATGCACAGAGGGGAGCGACCCCAGACATAGACACATCACAATAGGATATGTACTCTAACTACAGCCTTCGCCCGACCATAACGTGACCTTATGGACCGCAATCTAAATAAAATTAGCAAAACAAATACACTTAGCTTAGACATAAGTGGGGACTGGAAACCTCATGAAGACTGCCAAATACAATCTCGAATACCTCAAGAACCCCACACCTGTGTACCTGCAGGCAAATACAACGGCCAACACCAGGCCCACACCCCCGAACTAGACCTGTGTATACGTAGACTACTGGGGGCGTCGACTCCGTGGCTGTCCTAGTATTCTCTAGGGAACGGTGCGGACTTGATACTCCACCCAGTTACACAGGACCCTCTCACATTGAGGGATTAACTTATAAAAGGACCACATTTGTGGGACCAGACCCCTACAGCCTTCCCGAGCTGAGCAAAAAACAGACAAGGGTCGAACTGATCACGTAGAAGTTCACTGAGGGGGCGCTACACCACCTGAGTGAACCTCGAACACCCCTTTTCCCTTCACACCCACCCCCCCCCTTTCTCATCCCTTCCCCCTTACCTCCAGACCCGGGGTGCGCGGGGAAAACTGAGAGCCGGACCCAAGACACCACGCAGCATCACCTCCGACATAACCTCGGTCACAACATGGCATACATTCCCACACCATTTCGCATCACGACTCAGAACTGCAGAGGCCTAAATACAGCCGAAAGACGCTCTCATCTCCTACGAGAACTTGCGCGAGAGCAGGTCTCTATTGCCATGTTACAGGAAACACATCTTAAACCTACGGACACACACAGACTGAAGAGCAGACACTTCCCAGACAACTATCACAGCACACACCCAACAGCGCGTAAAGTAGGGGTAGCAATCCTCCTAAACGCCAACCTACAATTCAAACTGACCGACCAGCTATCCGACCCGAACGGCAGATTTCTCTTCATTAAGGGCACAATTCTACAGAAAACATACACACTCGCCTCAGTATATGCGCCAAACGCAAAGCAAGCGACGTTCCTCCGCAAGACAATCTCACAGCTAGCCACCTTCACAGAAGGGGCGCTTCTCATAGGAGGGGACTTTAACGCTCCCCTGGATCCACTGTCTGATTCCTCGACAGGACACAGTAGTATACCACAAACGGCGATCCCAACTATACGGAAATCTCTCAGAGACCTGAGATTGGTGGACGCATGGAGAGCCCTGCATCCAACGGATCGAGACTACACACACTATTCCTCTATCCACAGGAGATACTCCCGCATCGACTACCTCCTCATCCAACAAGAGGGCCTGCAAAGACTCCAGAAAGCAGAGATACGCACCACTACGTGGTCAGACCATAGTGCTGTGACCATGCTCCTAGACTCCCCCATGTTTAGGCCCGCACGGACAGCATGGAGAATGAACGAGTCACTCCTATCCGACTTAGAGGTACAGACGCAATTAACGGAACACCTCAACACCTATTTTAACGAGAACAACACAGGGGATGTGTCGCAGGTGACGCTGTGGGAAGCACACAAGACTGTGCTCAGAGGGCACTTTATAAGAATAGCATCTCGAAAAAAGAAAGAAGCACAACAACGCCTAAATGAACTCACCAACCGCATAGCACAACTAGAAACGCTCCATAAACGAACGCAACTGGAGACACAGTACCGTTCCCTCTTAGAAGCCAGAAACCAACTGACGGAGCTGGTGGCCCGCAGACATCATAAGGCGACCCAGAGAAACCGAGCCTTCTATTACATCCATGCAAACAAGAGCGGAAGACTACTGGCCCACATGATCAAGAACCGCCAAGCCAGGGCTCAGGTACACGAACTGAGGACAACCAAAGGCACCCTCACACAATTCCCGGAGGAAATAGCAGAAGAATTCCGAAAATATTATCAAACTCTGTACAACATAGACCCCAAGACAACAGGCGAACGTCAAGAAGACAGAATACTAGCCACAACACAGTACCTCCAGAACTTCAGACCTGAAGCGCTTTCCTTAGAAGAGGCAAACGCGATAGAAACACCAATAACAACGGAAGAAATACAAATGGCGATCAAACAAGCAAAAACCGGGAAGGCCCCGGGCCCAGACGGCCTACCGGCGGGATATTACAAAAAATTTGGCGAATTACTAGCCCCATACCTGACAAAAGCGTTGAATCGACTGCAGCAGGGAGACAAGTTCCACCAGGAAACCCTAGCGGCAACGATAACAGTAATACCTAAACCCGGAAAAAACCCTGAAAACTGCGGGAATTATCGGCCGATATCCCTAATCAACACAGATGTGAAGTTATTCTCGAAAATTTTAGCGACTAGACTACAAAAATACATGACACGCCTGGTACACCCGGACCAAACAGGATTCATCCCAGGACGAGAGGCCAGAGACTGCACCCTCCGGGCGTTCGCCATCCAAAACCTAGCGCTCAAAGCAAAAACGAACCTCTTAATGCTCTCCACGGACGCTGAAAAAGCGTTTGATCGGGTGACGTGGAGTTTCATGATGGCGACCTTAGTCAAAATGGGACTAGGAAAAGACATGCTCGCCTGGATAGAGGCACTCTACTCCGCCCCAAGCGCCAGAATACGGATAAATGGAGCACTCACAGACAGACTCCAAATACACAACGGCACCAGACAAGGCTGCCCGCTGTCGCCACTCCTATTCGCCCTAACCCTGGAACCGTTCCTGGCCAAAGTACGACAAACAACGGAAATCCAAGGATTCAAACACAAAACCCAAGAACACAAGGTAGCTGCATACGCAGACGATATGCTCTTTTTTATAGCCAACCCACTACACACGCTCCCAGCCTTGATGGAAGAATTTGAGGCATACGGACGGATATCGGGACTAAAATTAAACTTGTCAAAATGCGAAATTTTAAACATAGCTTCGCCAACAGCAGTGCGGGAAGAAATCCGAAGCAGATACCCTTTTCACTGGTGCACAGAGCAAATGCGCTACCTAGGAATCTGGATACCTAGTAACCCAAAGGAACTATATTGCAGGAATTATACTCCCCTCCTCCACACAATCCTGACTGACCTCAGGAACTGGAATTACGACTACATCTCCTGGCAGGGCCGCATAGCAGTAATTAAAATGAACATCCTGCCGCGGCTATTATACCACTTCAGCACCATTCCCTGGAACATACCATCAGATTTCTTCACAACACTTAAAACAGCGGTAATAAAATATGTATGGAAAGGAGAGAGAGCACGCCTACGCCATGACAAGCTATGCCTCCCAAAAATGTGGGGCGGGCTGGCTCTGCCGGACCTACGAAAATACTATTATGCAACTGTACTCCAACGAATCTGGGAATGGCACGCAGCGACAGCAACCAAACTATGGGTGGCCATAGACAGGGAGAGTACGAATAAAGCTCTATACACGTATATATGGCAAGGCTCGACGGACACTAAACAACACCTGAGTAATGATTCCCCCATTATACAGACGCTGAAAACTTGGACAAACCTAAGGAAGAAACAACACTTATCACCCCAACCAAGCCCTTTAATCCCACTGACACACAACAAAGCGATAGGAGGCGGACTGCAGACAACTGCGTGGCCCATAGCTTCCGAGGGAAACTTCATCCCCCTGAAAGGAGCACTGAATAATGCAGGACTGAAAACTTTACGAGAATGGTCAACCACAGAACAACACACGATGATGCACAGATACCACTATGCACAACTAAGACACTTCTACCATAACCTACCCAAAAGAGAGGCAGTACACAGGGACACGACGTGGTTCGAACATCTCTGCACTACAGATGCAGATGTACAAGGCAAAGTATCCAGCATATACCAGCAACTGATCACAGAGGACCACCCAAGAAGGAACGCCTTCCAAAGACAATGGGAAGATCTCACCGACAGATCCTACTCGGAAGCCCAATGGGGACAAATACTCATCCTCCAACACAAAAGCTCAATTAGCACTAGGTATCAAGAAGTGAACTACAAACTGATATCCCACTGGTACAGGACACCTGCACTGCTGCATAGAATATTCCCGGGAGTCTCAGAGACGTGCTGGAGATGCGAAAACGAAACAGGCACCCTACGCCATCTTTGGTGGGATTGCGCCAAAATCAAACCATTCTGGACTGAAATAAAAAGGGAAATAGCGTCAATATTGGGGGACATACCCGACCTCACGATAGAAATGGCGCTTCTACACTACACCGAAAGCACAATAAGCCAATACAAAAAATCGATACTACGACATCTACTTAACGCAGCCAAGGCATTGATCCCAATGAGATGGAAACAAACTCAACCTCCCACCAAGACGGAATGGCTACAAAGAATAGAAGAAATTCACACCGCGGAGGCGAGATACGCAGACCTACTAGGAAGAAGCACTAAGCATGTCGAGCTCTGGAGACCGTGGTACACATACCTAGCACAAACCAGAACCTAGCAAACTCACATTGTGGCCCGCGGTACTTGGGGACCCCCCGCGCACCTCGGTGTCCACCTCAATCATTCGTCTCCCCTCCCTCCCCCCCCCTTCAGCTTCCCTCCCCCTCCTCTACCTTCTCGCTCATTTGCCCTAAGAGGACCCCACACACCACCCCCCCCACCCACCCCACCCCCCCCATGAAAAAGTTATTTGAGGCAATAAAAGCCGAGAGGAACAGAGACGGAATAGCGACAAAAGGTCACAAGACAAAAGAGCGACGCAGATTATCCCAACCACACTAGCAATAATTATGACCAAGCGGAACGCAGAGAAACTAGAAGGAGCCACACACCTGGGAGGGACTAGCCCCCATAATAGACCAGTATAGATAAACAATAGAAAGCAGGAAGTCACGCGAACGATCGCGGACACATCAAGGCCATAAGACATGACCAAACCTAATACAGAGCGAGGAGAGTAACATGACCAATAGTACACAGGACAAAGGACAGGCCCATAGACCAAACGGGACTTTACACAGACATTGATCACAGAAAAGGGATGGAAAGACAGAAACAAGGCACACTCACCACTTTCCTCTGTGTACTCCACAGAAAGTCTCCATAACCCTCCCCCGATCTACCAAGCTAACTACAACTACATGTGTAACCATTGTATAAATCCTGGGCACAAGTTAACACACACAAATGCAACCCTATACGCGTGTTAAAAAAGTAAATCAAGCTAACATACACGCAACTTTTACCCAACCCTCGCCACCCCCCCTTTCCTTTTCTTCCGTACTAACTAATACGACAAGGGACCTGCGAATCCACCCACAATCTGGGTTTGAAACAATTCGCTTATCTAACACACATCTGCACATTTTCTATGATTGATATTTGCACATGTTACGCAATTGTTACTGTATTTATTACTGTATTACATACGCCAATGGATACCTGCGTGTATCACTGTATCCCATTTCCTTTATTTGCAAACCAAATAAAAATCATATTTACAAAAAAAAAAAATAAAAAAAAAATAAAAAAAAAAA